TGTAAGTAAAAAAAGGTAAACTTTTAAACAACTTTCTACATGAGTAAAACAACCCTGTGATGTGATTTTTAAGGTACTTTGCTGTCATTGAACTCATTTATTCACTAAATTAATTTATCTATTTCCTTTATTTCTTTGGTTATTGAAAATCTATTTTCTGTTTTTCATGGTAACAGAAGAATTTTTGCTGAAGTCCAAAATAGAATTACAATGTAGAATCAGATTGAATATATTACATTGTTTAATATAAGCAAAATTCCACCTATCACTGCAACTCAGTGGTGCTTTTATAGTGATGTACTTCAAAGGCCTGCTTGAGATTGGAAACCTGCTGTTCCAGGGTGGGTGCTCACTCATGTTGGAATAACTGTAATAGAGAAATTCAGGAATGATAGAGGAGCATTAAGGTGTATTGTTATCCAGGGGCTGATAAGACTAAGCTTTGGAACACTCAACACATCTGTCTTTTAAATTTCCTTAATCGTGTGGTTGCATTTCGGCTTTTTTAAAAATAAAAACAGAACGAAGCATGGAACTTCTCCAGCAGGTCAACTATGAAGACTTTTATTGTGTCTAATCAATAAAAGAGCAAGCTAAATGTAGAACTTCTGACAGTTTTCTTCATTGATTTGGAAAATACATTTAATTCCCTTTAAAAGATGTTGTTTTACCCAGAGGTATTTCTGAATTGATTTTGGTTAAATAGCTTATGAACATTAATTTTATGCATTTTTTTCCCATTCTTTCTAGTAATGATTCAGCTGTCAGTCAGGTCTGTGTAGCCAAGATTTGTCTATGAAATCTGTTTATTTTTTTCTTTAGGGAGGGACCTTGGTTGATATGCAAAGATGTGAAGTATTGGCACTTCTTCCTTAACTTGGTTCTAGTAATGTTTCAAATTTCTTTTGTATCTCTTCACTTGCATATGTATGGTATTAGAAATCTGTGTCTAGGGAATGGATGTAATTTAGGATTGTAGGTGTTATGAATGAAGTATAGAAGCAGAATGTCTACACAGTCTTCTGTTTCAATCTTTGCCTGTCACTTGTTCTTAGAGAAACACTGTTTTTTAAAAAGCATAAGGTGTATCCAGTTGTTTTCCCGTAAGTCCTTGTGACACATCAGAGATGGCTGTGAACTAAAATCCTATCTCTGAATATTTTCAAACTTTAGAAAAGTTGAACTAGAAATCCTGTTTGTGTAATAGCACAAGTGAGCTTTCATATCTTCACATTCCTGCATTCCTAAAATTTGTAAGTTACTGTTTCTTTTCCATGTGGCTCCCTACATCTGCTATGACTTCTTTTTTGTCTGTGTTCAAGTCTCTTCTGAGAGCTCTTCCCTGCTGTGCTAAATTTCTGTGTTGAGTTATCAAGCATTTACATGTACATGCAGGCATGGAAAAGCAAGCAGATAAATAAAATTAGTATTTACTTTTTTTTTCTTTTTTTGTTCTAAGATTTGCCTGCAGGTAAGCATTTTCTAGAACTTTAACTGTCTTGGAGCAGGGACCATCTCCTCCTGAGTACTGTGTTAGCACCTAAAAGATTATTTTTGGTACTAAAGTAAGCAGACTGCAGGGAAGTAGTTCAGTGTTCAGATGTTTCATTGACCCAGTTGATCCTTTTGAGGATAATTGGTATATGTGCCCATGCCCAGGTGCTATCATCTGCCATGCCCCAACTGAGGAGAATTCCTTTGTGTCTCTGCATTGAACACTCTGGGGTGCTGGACATCTCCACTTTTACTGATCTTATTGATAGATACCACTAATCAGGGAAAATGTATCCTCTTACATATGTGCTAATGATAGATATATTACCTATTTCCACCCTTTGGTTTTCAGTTTTGTATTAGCAATTTGTTTGTCTGGGGAAAGAGACCAAAATAGCTGTTGTGGAAGAAATTATTTGTAGGTAGCTCTTTTAGAGATGTTGTAAGAGTCATTTTTGATTATTTGATACAGCAGTTAACGCAGTACTTATCCTAAAATAAAACCAGCTTTTATCAAAGCTTCACAAAGAGATTTTTTCGAATAACTGTTGATCTCTCTGTAGCTATTGTGATCAGTTTTCTACCAAGGATAAGCCCCATCTTTCTGCACTGGCACAGTGTGAATGTTGTAACAGGGGCTGCTAAGAGAGTACCTCACTCTGGATTCATTCTGCAAGACAAATGTTGGCCCTCTGAGGAAGAGGCCAGTATAACCCGGTGCTGCAAATGCTGTTCGTGTTTTCACTGTCTCTGGTACCACACTCTGGATGTAACAAACCATTGTCAGGAGGAAGTAGAAAAGGGAAGAAACTACTTCATTCAAGAATTAATAATGCATTAGATGAACATTTTACTTTGGAATTATGAAGGTAGCTTGATTTGGAAGTTAATACTTGTTTGATAATTGCATTTAGTCCTTGTAAGGAATTGCATCTCCATGTTGGTTTTCACAAATAAGCCAAATATAGACCTACATACCAGATGATTTTCAATCCCAAGGTTGGTACATTTGTCAGTAGCAGGGTCCCTGGTTGAAGCTATGTTTTTTTGTAGGTAAAGCTGAGACAGAGTTGTGTGGAGAACCTTGATAGCACCTGGTTGTCTCTTGGCTTGCTTCTCTCTAGTGTTATCAGCCCATCTTCTGCATGCCTCCACTAACAGTATATCTTCAACTCACTTGAAAGAAAAGGGACCCGCCCGCCATCTTTATTCAAGTGCTTCTGTTTACTTGACTTAAAATACTAGAAGTTAGCTATGGAGGCATAAGCAGGTAAAGAGAAAAAACAACAGGCAAAGGGTCTCTTGGAAACCTTAGTATGTTTCTCAGGTTAGCTAAAGCCATGACACTTGGAAGCAGCAAAGAAAGGAAGTAGAGGGCTTTGGTTTTTATGATCTGAGTGATAATGAATATCACCTTTAAAGCAGAGACAATGAGTGCAGTATTCCTAAGTGCTTGTATGTGCATTTAGAGTGAGAGAATGGAATGGTATTTCTGATACAGGCCAGGATGCCATTGGCCTTCTCAACATTTTATTTGCCAGGTTTTGTGATCCATCTTTTCATTTGCAGACAGCTTGTAGAGGATAAATGCACATTCACATATCAGGATCATGAGATTTTTAAAATTCCCCATTTTTCCCCAAGCAGAAAATAATATTTTTTCTGTTAGATACCATATTTAATATTTTGGTGGGAGTGTTTGAAATGTGTGAAAATAGTCTCCAGTGCGCTATTAAAAAACAGTTGTGTAAAACAAGCACCTTTGTGGTCACCTTTTTTTTTTTGCCCTCCTCTGCTCCCTTTGTTAATTATCAGTGTTGTTTCGTCTCCACTTCCTCCCTTGCTAAAGGGAGCAGTTTATGGTTCAGACACAAATCTTAGTACCCATCACATTTCTGCCATTCACCTTCACACGTCAGCTAGTGTGTTTGTGTGCCAATAAAAAGATAAAGTTTTGTCCACAAGTGAGCTGCCTTTGGAGATAGTTCAGGGCTCCCTTGTAACACCTGCAGTATAGAATAAGCAAAATCAAAATTGCCTCTTTCTTGAAAGTACATTTCATACATCTCCATCTTTGCGATAGCTTTGGAATCATTATGTAGCAGTTGGCTCTGATACACCTGCACAGACGCAGATTGAGTCCAACAGGACTGATGTTTCATGGACTTTGCTGTCATTTGAAATGCTGGCATGAAGATGGTAGCAATGAAAAGGGGGAGCTGGTGCCTTCAACACTTTGCCTATGAAGATTTCTTAGGTTTGTGGTTTTTAATGGCAGTAGCTGATTCAAAAGATAGTTTTACAAAAGAGATTCATAACAGCCATAGATTTCTAACAGGTGCTCATGTCTTTTCTTCCTTGAGTAGATTCTTTGAGCATTGCACTGTACTGTAAAATGGGCTCTTTATACCACCCACAAATCTGTAAGATCTATCTAGTGGAATGGTAATTAGTATAATTTTTTCTCAGCCCTTTTGGTTTTTATCTTCACTGCATGGAAACCACTCGTGTGGTAATGAAAAAGATAGTATCAAACTTGCCGAAATTTGTATGTTGCAGACCCTTCAAAAAGTGAAATTACATTTCAGTGTGATTTTAGTGACAACATCAGGCTATTTGGGAATATCTCTAGTATTTCGTGTGAGAGGGAAAAATACTTTTATATTTCTTAATTTCTGTTATTGCTCAGGTATGGTAAATTTGGACAACGAGACACTGCTTTTTTAAGTCAGGTACTTGAGCTGTAGTGCTCCCAGTGTATCATATTCAATTACACATCATAATAAACGAAATGGATTGAATTAGAATCTCAGCCCTTTATTCAGTGCTGGATTTGTGTTTTCTATTAGGCATAATTCAGATATGTACAGGAAATCACAACAGGAATTTTGACCTTCGAGAGTTGTTGAACTATGCAATATGCTAACATTTGATGTCTAGCTTTAAGAACACCTCACGAAGCTGATTTTGCTGTGTTATTCTTACCAGATGCCAGGGCATCAGCTCTCAGTATGCTGCTTGCAAGTGGACTTTTTATTCTGGATATCGAATCTGCTTTGATGTCCTTCTTGCAACATGAATATTCCAGCAATGTATTATACTTCATTAACAGTGACAGTTCTTTTGATTCAGAAGGTGCTGTTGTATACAACAAAAGATCCAGGGTGTGATAAGATGCTTGATTATGGTAGAAAAGGTGCACTGAGAAATATGTTGGAACAGTGCTAACATATACTGTACCTTGAATCTTCTGGTATATGCCAGTAGCCTGAAATGAGTCATGTTTCCTTTTCTTTCTCCCTTTCCGCATTTGTCTTTTGAAATAGTTTTGCCTCAGATTTTGAATGCTTAGAAAAAAAAGCAGGAAGTCTCTGCCCTATTCTTGCTAACTGTATTTTTCTCTTTTTCTTACCTGTTCTACAGGCTCTGAAAATACTTCATCTGAAATTTCAGACCGGACAGACTTGCGGTGGCTTCTAAGCCAGTGAGAACAAGGCTGCCAAAGCATGCTGGTGCCAAGCTGTTGGATGATGCACGTAGTCAGGCCAGTGGTGGTGCTCCTGTGCTTGCTACTCTATGCTGATGCTGAAAGTAAGCTGATTATTCATTTGTGCTTAGGTCTTGGCCATGATGAACAGTTTTGTTTTCAGCTGGTGGTTACTAAGGGTCTTGGAATGAGTCTCCTTTTGAGTAATTCTTAAAACACTGCAAGGTCCTCTCTAGATCACAGCTAGTCTTTGAAAAGGATTATTTACGCAACTTCCTTACTATTTTTCTTCTTAATGCCCCTTTTCTTAAGCAACTAATGGTTCCCGCTCAGATGGTGGAGACTGTTGCCACAAAGTTACATAGTCAAAACAAAGACCGACCTTGCTTACCAGACATGGGTCAAATCCCTTAAAGACATCTGTCATTCTCTGAATATATCTTTCTTAACTTTGTTTTTTTGTTGTGTTTTTTTTTTAAATATGCCACCCCCCAATTAATATCCAGTCCAATTAAAATTCCATGCTTTGTAACTGCCCGCTCAGATGGTGGAGACTGTTGCCACAAAGTTACATAGTCAAAACAAAGACCGACCTTGCTTACCAGACATGGGTCAAATCCCTTAAAGACATCTGTCATTCTCTGAATATATCTTTCTTAACTTTGTTTTTTTGTTTTGTTTTTTTTTTAAATATGCCACCCCCCAATTAATATCCAGTCCAATTAAAATTCCATGCCCTTTGTAACTGCCACAACAGCTGTTCTAATGTATTATTTCCGACAGCTGTTGCAGAGTACAGTATCCAAACAAATCAAGCAGAACTGACAACTTTGTGGCTGGCCTAAATGTGTGACAATTCAGTGAGGAAGGACACCTATGTTTACTTGTACTGAGGGGAAACTGTTGGATTTTGGTCAATTACCTTACCTATTAATGGGAAGATAATATCTTCTTTTTAATTAGGAAATCATTAGGTCTGCCTTGTTTACATGTGTTCCTTCTCCCAGCTGTCCTGTGGCTTCTTGCAGAAGTAATGTGCAAATGAGAAAAGCCATTTGCTTTCCACCTGTTGACCTGCAGGTTTACTACAAGCTGACTGTTACTTTTGCTACAAGCTGACTGTTAACATTCACTTGATTGAGGAATATTTTCCTATGGAATCTTCCTGGCTTTGTGCAGATACATCACCAATCGATAACTTTGTTCCAGCTCTGACTTTCGAAGTCTTCTGTGTTTTTTCACATATCTGTGTAAAACAAAGGAGCAGTTGAATTAAGTAGGAACACAAGAATAAAAACAGTGTCAGTAGGTTGGATAAATCAGTTCTCAGTAAACATGTATGCAAGAGTTCCTTATCACTGCACTTATCACCTGCACTCCAGATATGCTAAATCACAACAATAGAAGAGATACAAAATCTTTCCACTTCCATGTGTAAGACTTCCTTCTTTTAACTGTAGCTCTATGAATGTGAAGTAAATGAAAAAAAAAAAGGAGAAAACATACATGTTTGTTGAGTACTGACAGCTGAGATTCTTTGGCCCCTTTCCAGGTAGATAATGACCAGCTGGGATAATTGTGTCTAAGGTGAAGCCAAGGACATTTTAACACTTTACCAGCAAATAATTAATTGGGAAGTGGGCCCATATGTTGGATATTCCTGCAGTGGTAGTATACCACCTATTTTAAAAGTAAATTCTGTGCTTAGCAAACACAGATTTTTAGAATCTGGTATACCTTTTCTGCTTCAGATAATGGATTGTCCAACTCCCTGTGGGCGAGTAGTGAATGATTTTTTGGTTTTGGTAATTCCAATTGGGTATCAATTTGCAAAAAGACAGTCAAACCCCAGAAACTCCTTTGTTAGTCCTGTACTTGTGAGAGAAAGGTATAGTTTCTGTAACCATGTTATGTTAAAGAGAAGGTTCCCTTTGTCATCTTTCTTCCCTGTGGGGAAGTAGGATGGTTTTGTTGAAGGTTAGCATGGAGTTTACTTCAAAATTGGCTGGTGTCCCAGTACAGTTTTTAAGTGAGTTTTCAGATTTGGTTTTCCAAAACTGCTGTATTCCACTTATGATTCTTTTTTATTTTAAATGACATGAAACAAAATAGAAGTCAGCTATTAGCCATTGCTGGCTAGGGCTAGGAGGAGTTTGTGGTGTCGCCTAGAATCTATGGAGTGTCAGGTGCAGCATAAAGGTTGTAAGATGCACAAAGATCATCTTTGTGTGGGAGTTACTCTCAGTGGAACCAGCCTGGACAACAAGATGCAGTCTTAAACTAAGAAAGAGTAAAAATGATGAATTAATACATATCAATATTAGTATTAATTAATAGTGGATAAGTAGTGTTTTCAAAGACAGATTCTTAATAATCATATTCTTTACAGGACTAGTGTACTAGCTTGACTGGAGAACAAAGCAAAGGTCTCTTCAAGATAACAGATTAATTATTTGTTTTTTTCTATTCCTTTTAGATGATGGTTTATACCATACTGTCGTATTATGTGATCATTAATAGTTTCATGTGGTTATGCTAATAGATAATATGTCAGGAGTGCTGTTAATACACGTTAGAAACACCCCACCCTAAATACCACTGACCATCTTTCACAAATGCACAGATCAGCTGAGTTTTGTGCTGGAGGAACTCACATTAACTAATTTTTTATGATTTTGTATATTTGTCTTTGTAATTAGTAGGTATTACTAGGCAGAGTTACAAGAATAGAGGGTAGCCAAACAAAGATACATTAGGTTATCTTCTTGGAGGGATTTATAATGTTGCAGTATCATCTATGGTTATTACATAGTATCTATTGCATCTTGTTGTTATTAGCCAATAGGAGAGAGAAAATGGCAACTTAAAAATACTTACAAATAAAAAAATTAAGAAGATTAGAAAGAAGTTAAAAGATTAGAAAGTTTCAACTAAGAAAAAGTTGAGAAATACTGCTAGAATTTTGGAACTAAAGTATAATGGAATAATAATTTCATTAACTATTTTTTTCTTTAAAAGAAATAGAAATGCTTTAAGAGAAACTCATTTGTGCTATGTACTAGCCAAGATTTTAGGTCAGAGTCTCTGTTAAGACATTCCAGAATAGAGAATAAGCAGACAATTATGCTAAGAAGTGATACTAGGTAAAACTGCGGTTTTACTGTTTCTGTATTTTCTTAAGGAGAGAATTGAACTGGACAATATAATTTTCTAAGAACAGAAGTGCAGTTTCTCACCTCATCATTTAAAAATACTGTTGAGTTTTTGAGAATTTTGAAAGCTCTATTTCTGTTGGTCTTTGCTGTTTTTTCTTGTTAAGAGTTTTTGCCATGTGGGTAGTGGTACTGTGAAATGCAGAAAGTGAGCGAACTCTTATATGTACGAGGTGAATATTAAATAGTCACTTTAAATAGTCAGGCTTTTATCTAATCCAGCTAGCTCTTATTTAATGGGAAAAGGCTTCTCTTTTGACGTTACCTTTATCTTCTGCTTACTACTAATAAAAAGGTGTGTCTTAGAAATTGTACGAATGCCCACAATTTGTATAAACTAACATAATCCTTTTTTACAAGCTGAACTTTAGAGTTGAAACTGATTTTTAGCTTCATACATCCTTTTCTGCATTCCTTTTCTTTCCAAGGAATTATAGAAAGAATTGGTTTTGAAAGGAGAGAGAAAAATCTAATGCAAGAATTTGTTCACTTGAACTGACTTGGTTTAAATTTCAACTAAAAAGTTGTGATATACCTAACACAAACCAAAGAGGCTTGTGATAGCTAGATGTCAATGCAATGTCTCCCATGTTCTAGTTAGATTTGATGATTTCATTCCCTTTACAATATAGTGCTGAAAACCGTGTAGCATATTCCTCTGTGTCTTAACGTATGAGATTAAAGAGACTATGATTATAAAGTAATTAATATGCACAGGCTTTTCAGTTCCATAAACATTTATATATGTATATACAAATGGTATACATTATGTGGTATGAATGAAATCGTGTGCCATATATATGTTTATATGGCTCCACATAATACTGCGTTATATGCTGTGAGTTGTAAATTAATGTTTTTCTGTTCTACCAGTCTAGAAGAGGAGTTATTTGAGAGTCAAAGTAACATTTTACTTTTACACACTGTACTTTGTTTATTTGGAAGATATGCTGAATTTCTACAGACATAGTTATTTTATGGGCTGGGTGAGAGATAGCACAGGATCAGTGAGCCTTCTGTGTGCAGACACACAGAAAGATGTGTCATCTTCTTGCATGATTAGCTATTCTCCTGGATTTCCTGAGGACTTAAAGAAAAGTTCCTGCTGTGCTGGAGTTGGTCTGCCCTCCACTCTTGCAGATACTGCTCCTGTTTGTATAGCTCTTTGTAAAAGGGTCCCAGACCCTACTGTTGTCCAGGGCTCTTCCTGAACTTCTTCACAAACAGTTGGCAGGACTACGTTATTTCCTTTTAGAGGGGAGAGAATACAGAAGGTGAGACAAAGGGGACAAAACTTTTGTCTTTTTTTTCTCTGTCACCATGGAAAGGCCATGCCTTCCTTTTTTTTTTTTCATAATTTTTCTGTTGCTAGCACCAAGGTACTACAGAAGAGAAGGTATATTCTGACATTGCTACTGCATTGTATTCTTTCCAGAGTAATTGCAAATGGATAAGGAACTCATACTCTTCCGATCTCACTGTGAAATCACTATGAGAGGAATCCAAGTAGCAAGCCTGCTTCATGCTTTTGAAGAGATTCCTGATGGTAGTCTTTCATACTACTTTTCTGTTTACATACTACCCTCACAGCTGAGGGAGGGAATGAGACATCTTTGTTTCTCTCCGTCATTGTGTAAGACCCCAAACTCTGAAATGTGTTGGCACGGGCTGATAAACTCTCCTGTGGCCACCTCTCAAAGGGATGCAGGATGGAAATGCCAAAAAATCCTTCCCTGGTGGACTGGATGAGTGCACCATGCCCCTTGTGTGTGCGACCAAGGTTTGATTCTTACTGTTAATCCAGAAACTAAGCTTATGCTTGACTGAGCAAAGTAAGCAAAATTGAAAGGTGACAAAATTACCTTTGCTGTTTTACCTTTTATTGTTAGTAA